CGACCTGCAATCCTGACGTTGGTCTCCACTCTTCATCCAGTGGCCGCTTCTTCAGTTCAACCCAAGGGTACCCCTCTGTATGCTGATTAATCAACACTTCCAATCGTTGTGGATTTACCGTTGTGGATTATATGACTTTTTCCAATGGATTACAGACTCTGTTTCCAAGGGGTTAAAGCATTGCTACAATGGAATTATCGAGACGATATGGGATTATAATCAACACAATGGAATTACCAAGAACATTGTGGAATTACCTTGACTTTTGTTTTCCTTGCTGGATTACTCTTGACTCTTGTTTCTTTGCTGGATTACATCAAGCTTCAAGGACAATCGACGACGTAAGTCCATAGTTGGAATTCATCTCCATGGACAGGTGATGATTTCCAAAGGGGGGACTGTAGTGGACTAGGCCTACGTCGAAACCCAGTCTAAGGTCAAAACTCTTGACCTTTAGAACCTTGTGGGACAGAAGCTGTCATTTCATGTATTTGACTCCATAAATACAGGTTCACCCATCCTGAGACTTTCTTTCTTGAAGATTCAAGTGAAAAGAACACTCTCTTTTTATTATCATTACTATCTTACAAATGTTGATAATCAAAGTGTCTTAGTTCAAACCATTTTAGATGTTGCAGTGAACTAATCAATTTTATTAACTGAGTAATGATTTTATTCTCATGTTAAAAGCTGTGCAGAGTAATTATGCATTTTTCTGATTTCTGCTTTTGAATGAGCAAGTGTGTGCGTTTACAAGGTTACAGTCAAACGAAAAACAAGTTGTTATGTTAAAACTGTCATGTTTTAGAATCCTCTCAGACGTAAATAGAGATGTTTTGCACCTGTTTCTTAAGGCACGCCAAAACAGAACCCTCTCGGTCTGTGAGAACATTTCTGAGCTGTCTCATAACAATTCTCGCTGTCTCTAACCTCTTACGTCACAAAAACACACCCCTTCTGGTCGTGTCTGACCAATGAAAAATCCCAAAAAGTGAACCGGGAAAGAGTCTTTAAAATGTCAGTACTTCCTGGTCTACACAGACTCACAGGGACACGGAGAGACACACAGGTACTCAGAGTTGGAGAATTGTCAGACTTCTAGAGTTCTGGAGTTCTGATGGAGTGCTGTTGGAGTTCCTGACATGACAACGAAGCTCTTCCGAGTTCCATGGGATTATAACATTTTCCACTGAGGTGAATATGTGTCGAACAGAGCCTCGCCACTACTTCTGACGGGCAACAGCCATTCTAAGGAGACGCTGGACCGGTAGCGTTAACGGAACACCATATCTGCTGATTATCATCAGAGAGGTAATGGGTCAAGTTTCCTACCAAGCGTACCGAGGCGAGCTGGGCTTCTGATGGAGAGTGTCGGTTCTGGAAAACACTTAATTTCCCTCACACACCATCCTTTACTCCCTTTAAACTTCATCTTTCATCTTAAACTTTTCTATCAAGTAGAAATTCTCCCAGATATTTAGAAATGTCTGTGTAAAGTGCTTACCCACATTCATGTGGGTAAAAGATCATAGTTGTACAGTTTTATACATGCCTGTGGTGCAGCAACGGAAAAATCATGGCCGTATGATTTTTCTGATTGATTGCTTTGTTGTTATTTTCATAATTTGCCAAATTAATGTACATGTTTGATGTTAAATTTGATTCTGTAAATAAATGACCGCATTCATTTTGATGGGTCAAATTTAAATGACGTCTCCCGTTTGCATTTCCTTAAATTCAGTGCACGTTTTATTCAGTCCAGAAAAATGAGGAACTCGCGTTAAATGATGAATATATCAGAGCATCTGTTCATCTACAGATGGAAGAATAGTTTGGAATGCCCTTCTATAGGTGTAAATCCCTATATATAATTTTTCAGCATGACCCACCCTTTAATTGGTACCTGTAGCTGATCTAAACCATGATAGCTTACACACCAAGTGCATATAGGTTAAGGTCTTATGTCACGGTCAGCGGCCCCCGCTGCCCCCCCATCTGCCTAAGCCTCTGCTCTTTGTGTGGTTTCTGTTTCTGTGTCCTAAGCCTCTGCTCTTTGTGTGGTTTCTGTTTCTGTGTATCTGGTCCTGTTTTCCACTCACTCCTCAGTCTGCCTCTCCACTCCTCAGTTTTTATCATTCACTCCTCAGTCTGCCTCTCCACTCCTGTCACGGTCAGCGGCCCCCGCTGCCCCCCCCCC